AGATTCTTCTCCTTTCTGACGGGATGTGGACGAACCGTCTCGTAACATCACTGCCCATAATCCATTTTTGAGAATAGTGCCTCTGTTCTGAAAGACTCGGGACAGAGTCATGCAGAAGACCATTGTATCGAACAGCATGACTGTCATCCATGCGGCGGCGAAGTCTAGGACAGGTTTGTTTCAGTTCTATTGCAATAGCCTTGCCCGTGCAGTTGTTTACTCACAAACACTACTAAACGGTATCATCAGTTAGGGAGGTAGTCAAATTCAAGGATTTGTTCACACCGTGTCTGATTCAAGTCCAGAAAGCATTTCCCTTGAATTGGGAGCTGAGTGGTGCTTGCTAGATCCTTTGGCAGCAGTATCTGACTAGTGATCACGATACCCTGATAGATTCAAAGGTGCATCATAAGGGAGTGCATTTCGGCAGGCTAAACAATGTGCCCATACCGATCCGATTGCAGCCGTAACGGAAGCAGCCGCCACAAGCACGTAGAGCATGCGCCGATTACATTCATATAACGCATAGGTTCTAGCAACAAGCAAAGCTGAAACAATTGGGTCAAGCAGTATGGATAAAGCGGAAGGAGCAGACCTGCAAGGAGAATGACAAGAGTTCCAGAGAGTAGCTGGTGGTAGTCCTCCAGGAGTTGACATCTATCAGAGAACGTATATCAATGATCTCACTGCGCGACCATGAGATAGTTCACAGGCGTACTGCTGCGGGGATAAGGATAGTCAGGCCCATTGCCTAGTAGTTAGAGAAATTACAGAGCCGTACTTTTGGTGACACGCGACCAAATGTCATCACCACTATGGGGATATGTCCAAGGAGAACGATGTAACGGCTGGCGAAGAAGCACAATGTAGCCCACGTAAACCGCCTCTGCAGCCAAAATAGTTCGACTTCTTCGGCGAATGTCAATACGTAATCGAAGAATAGAATAGCTATCGTTGTTTTGGTCAGACATGGACTGCCACTGGCAAGGTTCATATAAGACGCACTGATAGATATTGCCACAACTACTGAGGGGTACACTTCCAGAGCGACCAGTCTGCATACATCATTATTAGCAGTACTTTTTATTGAAAGTCGGAGAAGCACATACGGAGAGTCCCAGCTACTCATGCAACCTTGACCTGATAGATATTGTGAGGTATGAGCTAAAGTATAGCTGTCCAAGGTTCGACTCCACAGTTGAGGCACCGTAGATGTTATATGTTTGAAACTCGCAAATGATTCCGAACCAGTCTAGTATCACTCTGGCCTCGAGCTCGGCTGATGAGAATCAGATACTTATAGTTTGTTCATAGCTCTCGATGGATGCGAAGTTTGCCGTTTTTTGCCTAAACTTCCTATCAGCAGCTCGTCTGAGAGAATCTGTAGCTAGGTACTACACCAAAATCATCTTTGTTTGAGCCGCCGGACTGTCAGCGCCGCTCGCTACTCTTCCAAATATGGTAGTAGACCCTCGGATACAGCTCAACGAAGAAAAATGGATATCCTTAGATTTAATGGCGGAGCTATCTGATGACGAGCTTGAACTTGAATGCAAATCAACTTTGTGTGACTTTCTCATATCACTCCTGGTTCTAGTGCACAGTGGATAACACGACAAATGGTGAAGACCCGGAAGTCTCAAGGGAAGATGCTTACCGTTCAGGAATATTAATCGATTCACGCATATCTTGATTCGGAAGTGATCGGGGTCCGATCCCCAAAATTGCGGCGGAAACGGGCGTTTATGAGCTTTGTGCATCTGGATTCTGCAGGCATCCGCTTAACGGTAAGTTCACGCGCACATCTCTTCAAAACAAATAGCTGTGTCGCATGTGATGGCTATAGTAAGCCTGAGTCAATCTGTCGACGCCCTGCCATGTCTGTCGTTTGGCGCCAGATTTGTCTGTCATGAGAATGTTGCAATGTCTAGGTGTGTAATACTCTGGTGGCGGGTGCTGTGATTATCACACTGACTAATTTTAATCCCAGTACCCCATATGATATGGATTCATTCGCAGATACCAGACTATTGCTCAGTGAACAATCCTCCGTATCCGAGTCAATATCGTAGCCTGGGCAACCGTTAAATATACAAGCTTGGGCGGAGTGCCGAGTATCGTGATGCGGAAGCTACGCCTGGTTAGTCTCCTTTGCAGAGTAGCCAGGGGATCAAACCTGCGTTGCGTTGCCTGCGGCGGACTACGGATACCCTGTATGCCTGGTGGTCTTGAGATGTCTCTCGTCTGTTGCCGGGCGCTTTCTGCGTTTCTGCGTCACACTCGATTCACAAACGGGTTTCAACAGTAATATCCCTGCAGATAGCTTCTGCCAAGGCTGTGGTAGGTCTCCGCGTCAACTACAGAGAGAATGGAAGATTGGAACTGACACAGCATACTCAGTTATTATCGGTTGTTCGGACTTTATTCAACTTTCAGCAGATGATGCTGGACGAAATGCTATCAAGATGTGTTGGTTACTTCTGGCATTGCCACCTTCGAGTTAAACAAGTGATCAGGATGGTACGGCATATACCATGCATTGAAATATTCTATTTCACAGTTCTTCCTTTTCCCTCAGATCTCATAGGTGTCGCAGGCGAACCTCGTACTCCTTAAAACCGATCATGGACAGTCAGGCATCCCAGTATGTATATTGCCACACCTATTTCAGATGCTCGACCTGATGTATGAATAGGGTGTTTGCTCAAGAAGTGAGCCGCTTCAGCGTGCTCACAGCAGTTAGTACGATCAGAGGAACCGCCAACCAGAAGCAGATTCTGACACATTCTTGACAGCGGTCTTATATTTCGATTATTTATTGACTTTTGCGGACGAGGTTCGACTGTTTTGGGTGCCACAACGATTTTCATTCGCAGCTTTCTTCTTCTTCGTAGCTCGATACACAACGATCTTTGGTCATATTCCGATCATCATCGCTACATTTGGTCAGTTTGGGCAAGAGGTACGTTCATATATGCGAACTTTCATATGTGCATTGGTATACCAACATCGTTATATTAGCGGTGAGCTCTCAATTACCCCCAAATATCTCTGGAACCTCACAGCGGATACCCTAGGTGTAGCCAGCTTCAGTATTACCATCAAGGGTTCTCCGCACTTGTGATAGTTTTATTGATGAGTTCGCTCTTCAATTACCTCATATCATCTCTCGCTGACCTGTAGCGAAAGTCTTGCTGATAATGCGAACTTACGCACTCTATCAATGCAATCGGCGTATTCTTTGGTTACTCATTTTGACAGCCGCGATCGCAATTCTCGGTGGCGGGGTATGTTTATCACAATTTGCGATTACTCGCGTCATCAATATTGTGTACTATATAGGCTGTATTACTGGCCAGCGAGATCGCTATACCTGCCGCACAGACCGTTTTGCAGAATTCTGGACAGGTGAATTGTGATCCTGTTGTTAGTCAAACACAGTACGTTCTAGCATTCGTTAAAACTCAGAGCATAATATGATTGGATTTCAGTGGTTACTGTGAGTATTCGAACAATATATACCTGGGCTCACTCTATGCTAACAAAAGGTGACTTCAGACCTGGCTGCAAGTTGGGCTGCCGTTCTGGGATTCGATAGTCTAGTATTTTGCATGACACTCTACCAATCGATGCGACTCAACTTGGATGGAATAATCAAGAACAGAATCGGCAAGATTATGATACGTGACGGTCCGTCCTTCATTGACGAACGTATTTCGGTCATATTGAATACTTCCGTATAACCCTAGGTATCTTATACTACGGGTAGGTGGCATTTTGTCAGGAATGTATGAGTGCTTTTCGGAGACATTTATATCTCCAGAGTCGTCGTCTTGCTTTACATCATCAACATTATCATGTTCTTTGTGAGTAACATCCTCGTATGGACATATCTTGCGCTTACCCATCGTCTCACAGGTCTGTCCGGTATGTATTACCTCAAAACCGTTTTATGAGAAGGATTATTCATTAATCCGGAATTAAGCCACTGTATAGGGGCCTCTTCGTGTCATTTACGAACGTGTGAGTTGCATCCATCGTATCTCTTTTCTGGTAAAGTCTAATTGGAGGCCAATGTAGCATGGCGAGCACACTCATGAATCGTTTGATGCTTCATGTGAGAAGGTCTGCCGAGAGTTGTAACGCGAGCTGGATTGAAATCTCGGACACTGCGCCCGCTGTTAGCGTATAATTCATCATGTCCACTACATCTATCATGATAGCTCGGTGATATCACTGTAAGTTGCATTGATATTATCTGTATCACACTCATTATCTCAGATACGCCCACCTTGATGATTATCAGATTCATCTCAAGTCGTTGCTACTGAAATTGTTCGAAAGCTAGGGGTAGTTCCGATTCTACGTGCTTGGGCGCCGCTTCTTGCCCTCAAAAATCACGTCCCAATTTATGCTCGATTCCAGTATCGCAGGTCCTCTTTTTACTCCCAAAAACTGGTGGTACCTAAGCATGGATAGCCAGCCCTCACAGTATGTCTGCTCATTATACTATTCAAGTTGGGCTATTTGCTAGTAAATATGGGATAATTCTAGGTCATATATCCCCGTCGTGGTTGGACAGTTTGCATGGTTCGGAAAAGAGGTAAGCCTGCTTCGCAGCGGTACTATACTATTTTGCTTGCAATCGGCCAGCTTGAAATCCTGTTTATCATGCGGACTTACGTGCTAGTATACGGATTCAACCGTCATGTCCTCTGCCTGCTTCAAGTTGTTTCCTGCCGTTCTTTGTGGAGGGGTATGTGTTTGAAATGTCCTGCTGCTCAATCGATACACCCCTCATGATCTAATTCTTAGTCTTTACTACTGGCGGGTCTGTCGGACTGCGGAGCGTAATAAATTATAACATCTCGAAGTTTATCCTCAGAGCGGCGACTCGGAGGAGCGGCGAGTAAGGCTCCAACCCTTTATATTATTTACTCTTTATACGTTTCTCTTTTTATGTGGAGCGCGGAACACAGACAAAAAGTGAATAACCTACTAACCCCCAGCGGGACTCGAACCCGCAACCTCCAGATTATGCAACGCTACAACGCGATGATAGAAGTCTGACGTCATAACCATTAGACAATGAGGGCTTCAATGAAGCGAGTCTACCTGCGCCTCACACTCTACTGAGCATTAGCGCCCAGCATCAGTAATCTTTCGCCGACTTTCCAATTTTTGTCAAACCAGGCTCAACGCCCTACACATGTACATTGTCACCGTAATATTTGCGTTACTAAGAGTTGCATTCACGTAGCCTTAAAGTACAGGTTCATTTCGACCATCCTTTACAGCTACTTTTTCTTCCCTCCCGTTTGGTCTAAAGATACAATCCATCTCTTGGGCACCCCTCGTGCCATTAGACAATCCGTGACAATCTTGATCTGCTTTCCCTGCACCATAACTTCCAGCTCGGATGTCTTTCCGTGTAGAGGATACACTGTGGGGGAGCAATTTGACACAACATATATAGAGAACTTTGTATAAGAGACTGACCTGACGTTGAACTTGCACAGGCTTTCCGAAGCTCGTCAGCTAAATCATCCGGTTCGATGCCATATACCTCTAGCCCAGTTATGAGTGTCGCAGCCTTCCGTCCCTGGCGCATCTTGACAGTTATGGAGATGGGCTTTAATTGACCCTTCCTAGCGATAAATTCAGTGAATGAACCACGCAGCCGAAGATAGTTGCTTACTTCCTGACCACGCCACTCCTTTCTGTCTTGATCTCATGCCATTCCTGCATGTTGTCTCGTATGCGCTTCAATGCATCATCGCGTTTCAAGAATTCCGGATTTTCCTTGTTCTTGTTAGAGGTTGCCGCGAATAAAGCAACGTCTTCTCCAACATTAATGTATTGCTGCTCATTTACGTTGGTCAGATTCTTTGAGGACACATAGGTACTGAAGATGTCTTGAATATTTGCGATACTATAAAGATCTTCCGTGCTGGAGGGCCCGGTAATATTAGTGACACAAGAAGAGGTAGATGAAGAGATAGATGGATGAACTCACGTCTTTTCAGCGGCAATAAACCAACCAATAGTCGGGCCATACGGCTTCCACAGTTCTAGGGCACGAATCTCACCCCGCTTCTTTTCTTCAGCTTCTTTCTCTTTGCGTTCGCGCACCTCTGCCTTCTCTCGTTTGGCTTCGACGCTTCCCACCGTTCGATGTGGTCGATGTGTATTCACAGCTGGGTGCGTTGGAAATATGCCTACCCAGAGTCTGAGATCAGGGGCTCAAGGTTCAAATGTGCATCGATGTGGGACTCACCAGTAACCACAACATCACCCTTCGTTTCCTTTAGTTTGATCAGCCCCTCCTTAGCGCATGCTTTCAGGAAGCTTTTGACCGACTTGTGAGATGACTGTTTAATGTCGATTGCACTGGAATCTGTGATATTAACGACGTGTAAATGGCTATGCAATATTAGAAGGTCTGTTGCGCACCAACAAGACCTGTGCTTCCCAACGCTTGTGCTGGCCTTGCAGGGAGGACATAATTTGTCCAGAAAAGCGATGCAGGTAATGGGAAGGTCGATGATGGGAGAGAAGAGAGTGTGGCCTGAATTGCTTGAATCACGGCACTTCGTAGGCAAGAGGATACGTCTTGGGAAAGAATAAGTTTCGAATATGGATTTATGTGTTAGTATGCCACACCTTCGGGAGATAAGACTGGCGCTGATTGCTCAGACTTATTATCGATAGCGTCTTCCAACTTCAAAGATTCCAGTCCTGGAACAGCCTCCGCTTCTTCGTCAGCTCGGATTTCTGGGAGAGTGCTCGCTAGGTTGAGTTGATGTTCCGTCTGACTTTGGGTTGACCCTTCGCGATCTTCAACATCCTTCTCGTCGTGTTTCTCTGTCGGTGAGGGGATATCCCTCGGTTCCGGTACGTCCATCTTCTTACTAGTCCCCAGATCCCACAAGGAATCTTTCCATGTATGTAGCACGTACACGGCTTTCCCCTTAAGGTCCTTCTCGTCAGCTTGCATAAGCGTCTCTGCGGAAACAGCCATGCGTCCGACAGCCAAAGGAGGGCCGAGCTTGCCGCGATGATATTGTGTGATGGACACCAACTGATCAGGAGCAATAGACACGGAGTGCTGAACAACTGGCTTATACGGTTATGAAGCGGGTGTCAGCCTTTTTCTGCGGCGATGTAAAGATTCCTGACCGACCTCCCGGTATCATAAGATCCGCACCCCCAACCATCTTGGGCACGACCGCGGCGGGGGTGGAAAGGAAGGGTAGTAGCTCGGGCTGTTTCCATAGGGTGAATACTAAAATTTTAAGTACCATCAGGCTCATATCCTTTGAATCAGTACTTCTGCATACGTACCTGTAGGGATCAAAGCGTCCGAGCCTTTGCCGATGGTAAACCAAAGAGGATCTCCTTCATTTGATAGATACATTACCTACCATAGTACACGAAGAAATGAATTCAAAACGCATGCTGTCTGAGGCAATATAGGGTGCTTACTCCATGCTCATCTACATGAGTACTGAACTTCTGCGCCAGGAGACCTTCCGGGACTAACAACTCGCCGTCTTCAGGTTGCAACCCAAACTCCGACACAACTCGCTGCTTGAGCTTACGACGATCAGAGCCCCGGAGTGGCGCTGTCGCAATTCTGAGATTATCTGAGTTAAAAGTACTGCAATGCTCAATCTCGTACCTGATGTCTTGATATCAGCCATAGGCTTTTTGAACATTATCTTCAGTATCAAATCTTCCTAACGCTAGATATCTGCGCGGAATACTGCGCGGAATAAATGGACGATATTCAAGTATTAATCAAGTTTCTGAGCGATATAGATTGAACGGTGGCGGTGAAGAATGAGCAGCTCGCATATATGCTTCGGCGCCCGAGTGAGTTGACCGAGCGCTTCTTGGATTACGTTCATATTGCACAAGGTAACAGTAGATGTTTGGCAGCCAAGCTAAGCAATCAGCTTATTGCAATTTCTGATAATATGTCCATTGATGCGAGAGATATTGTAGAGGTTACCCTACGTGCAAATATACCGAACAAGAATTGATAGCATTTTACGGCCGGCCAAGCCTGTTCTTACTTGACTCCATCCACTCATCTGCCAGTTCCGACACAACACGTCGAAGTAATTTGGCGACACGACCTGCTTGTTTACCACTGCCTTCCAGATAGTATTTTATCTGTATCAATCCTTTGAGTTAGCGATTACTGAGCAACTCAACAAAATCCAAGAGACTCGCCTTTGGTTCCGTCCCACTCGTCCTGGGAAGAAATTGAGCGACAAGATACATTAAATTACTTTCACGATACTTACCTGATCGTCAACGTAATCTTCGCTCCGTCTGTGGGTGATTCTGCGCGGAATTGGATCATATGACCGGACGAAAGGGGTAGAGTTGGCTTATAAGTGGGCGGATTGGTACTATCGTATCCGATCGTCAGATCTCTTATACTGGCAATATTCAAGCCGGCAAGCGTGCGAGGGTAACTAGGCTTTGCTGGGGTTCCCTGAGAGTAAAGCGAGGTGCATCATCAACACATGATATAACTAAATTGCCACATCTAGCGAACTAACCATGCCATCGTGGTTCCGTATCCTGGCAAAGATTCTATCGATCGTTGGGGGGTCAATGCATATGAAGTAGCTGTTGCTCGTCTGAAGTCTACGTGAGACTGTGTTGCAGAGAACATAAATCACTCTGTTACTCACTTGGAAGTAACCATATCTGGTTGAGCCATCAAGAACAAGATCAGAACGATGGCAAAATGGAGTCGGTGCACTACTCACTGCTCGTATAACTCTTGGAGATAAGACGTAGCTGTCTTTCCATCGTGGTGTAATGATGCTATGAGCTCAGCGAACATCATCTATAATTTGAAGTCCTTCAATATACCGTCATATGCAACCAGATAGTGTACAAAAACATACAGTAGCTGCTACACCATCTTTGTCTCGGATCTCAGAACCAAACATATATCCAATGGCTTCTTCGTAGCCAAAGGGAACGTCGTACCCATCCTGCGCGAGAGCCAGTGCGGCATTTCCGATGAACTTGAATCCTATTACGAACGGATCAACTATCAGGATGATTCGATGTGATCACTAGGTACCTGTTAGGCATTCAACGAATTTGAACCCTTCCGCAGTGGCCATAGCTTCTACCATCTTCGAGCTAACTGTCGACGCGACCATAGCCAATTTATCTGTCGTTTGATGAGCGGAAGCCGGAGGACCCTTTAAGAAATAGTGACACACTCAATGGTTTACCAGCCGCCTTGTATTTTTGCAAAACGGCGCTGGCGAACAATGCACCCAACTGATCGCCGGTAAACGTGACCCATTTGCCATCTAGACTGAACGTAGATTTAATATCACAACTTGGGGGCCTTAATAGGCCTGGGCGTACCCTCTCTCTGCTGCAGAGAACCTATCAGAATCTGGATCTTGTGCTAGCACATAGTCGGCACCAACGCTATTGGCAGTCTCCAATGCCAAGTCCTTCGGTGGGGTCAGTGTTTTGTATAATCCTATTGCATGTGATTGGTTGGACGTACCAGTGCTCCTTATAGCCAGGCAAAAGTGAGCCTATATCATAATTATTGAGACCGACGTACCCTTCTCTTCGGGATTGGGGAAGGTGACTGTGGGGAAGTCTGGATCTGGCAATTGTTGCTCCTTTACAGGTGTGAACGGCGGAAAACCGAAGAGCGCAAAGGTCTTCGCCAAAACTGCATGACTGACACCATGCAGAGAAGTATTGACGAACTTCAATGGTGATTTCACATTAAGCGATCTATGAGGTATAAGCTGATGAAAGAGCGTAGTTCAGTACGGCGTAATCACCTTGTTGTAGATAAAGATGTTATAGCAGCAAGATATGCGTCTGTCATGTCGTTTGTACAATCCACACAGAGCGAACATGCGTCAAGGCTATCAATATCCCAGGTGACTGGTTCCAAATTCGCTTTGATCGCCTGTGAGATGCCCTTATCGTGTGGAGAAATTATCTGATAAGGTCAATCATCTATGAGTGCAGCCATCAAGCGGTTGTCAAGGTCACTATACCTGAACCGCATTTTCCCAATAAACCTTTTCAC